GCTCACCACAAACTGCTTCCTGTGTTTCGATAGTAAGATTTTCACAGATTCTGCAGAGTGCAACTGCACAACGCCCAAACGTGGCAAATGAATGAATATGGCTCATTAGTTGTAAAGGTCACTCTCCATCACTTCATTAATTACCCTAATAGCTGTTAAAACATGTAATGTGGGATTAGTACAATGAATAATGGCATGCTCATTTAAGCATGTGATCGCTCGTTTCATATGAGAGACTATTCACAGTGTTCCTGCGAGCTCTAATACGCTAGATAATATTTTAGTACCTGGCTATCTTATGGTTATAGTGAAATGCAAAACTTAAAGATAGTGGAAGCAAGACGCAATTTAATGAACAAATGCTGAGGGTTAAAGCCTACTCTTGCCAATAAGTTTATGAACCTGATGTATCTTTGGTATTTTTCCACATGCATTATATTCCAGATCACAAAACGTTCCCTACCCTCCATAATGTTTCAGACAAAGACACGAGTTTTGTAGTCTTGCCCCCCTGTTCACCACCACAATGAACTAATAATCAAACAATCAGCATGTGATTGAAGTGCAGACTTCCAGCTTTAATTCAGTAGGTTTTACAAAAACTTTAGCATGAAGAATTGCAGTCCTCAATTTTGAGAAGTTCAGCATCAATGGTAAAGACTAATATAAATTGGTATAAACTGGTAAAGACCAGTCTGATCAGTTTGCATTTGGCTGATGCCAAATGCAAATTCCTCCTGTTGCTTCTATCAGCAGCCACATGCAGACACAAGTGCCCATGCTATAATGCTTCCTCCACCAGGTTAGACAGATGATGTGCATGCTTTGGATCATGAGCTGTGTCTCTCCTTCTCTTCCCATCATTCTGGTACAGGTTCATTTTGGTTCAAAGATTTTTTTGTTTACACACCTGTGCAGCTCTTTTTTCTGGCAAAGTCTAAACTGACCCTCCCAGGCTTGGTGTAACCAGGGGTTTGCACCTTGTTATAAACCCTCTGTATCAACATTGACAAAGACACCTCTTGATTATAGGCTTTTACAGTGATATACCTGCTTCCTCAAGAGTGTTCTTGACTTGGTTAGATGGTATGAAATTCATTCAACATCCACATTAATTGTCTTCTGTGGTCTTTTGGGCCCTTTGGTTCTGCTGAGCTGGTCAGTGCATTCTTTCTTTTAAAGAATGTACCAGATTGTGAATTTGGCCACTTCTAAAGTTTTCTCTCTGATAGGTTTATTTGAGTCTTTCAGTCTAATTACAGCCTCTCTCATACACACAAACATCTCTTCTAGGTTTCACCTTTGAAATTACGATCAAATTACAGTGAAAAGCTATAAAATATAAATGTAACACTTTAAATCAACATCAGATAAAATGTCCACTTCATTTGTCATTAAACAACAAGAGAGCAGTGCTCATCTGGCCGTGAAATTGTCACTAATTTTAAACCTCTGGAACTGAGAGACGGTGTAGAAATGTGGCTATAATTCTTAAATCATTGCATGTAAAACATTTTTGTCCACCCCTTGAATTAAAGCTGCAAGTCTGCACTCGCATATTGATTGTTTGATTTACAATCTACTGTGGTGGTGTACAGAGGCCAAACTACAAAGCTTGTGTCTTTGTCCCAAACATTATGGAGGGCATTATACACATTGAAGACACACTGCGTTGCACTCTCAGTCCACACGGCCTTTACAATCACTGGGCTAGAATTTTCTGCCTCATTTCTCTGGTACATTTCACTCATGTTAATGCATTTGTATTGAATTCTGCAGAAGGCTCCATTTTAAATTCTGCAAAGCACAAATTTTAATCTCACAAATCCTTTACAGTAGAATGAACTCATACAAGGTACAAGTCAATATTAACATTTCTAGCTCATCTCTTCTACGGCTTATTTGCATGTGCACTATTTGCATGTGAAACTGATAAAAAAAAAAGGGAAGTAATTTCTGTGAGAGACTTTATTATAAAACATCGATTCTACTCTCAGGTGGAGGCTTCACCTGGAAATTCTGCCCACAAAAATTATGAACACAATCAGTGGCAAAGGACAGGACTTATTGTCGTCAATGCAGACTAAACTCCCATTGCAGTTGTGCAGAGGACAAATGCACCGTAACAGCCCATGCTCACAAAGCATCTGCAGATGCTTTCTTCAAGTCCAGTACTGGTTCTGGAGCCCAAGCCATGCACTGAGGTGAGCCCAACTATACCTAGCCAGTATCTCTCAATCTCAGAGGGGAAATGTTTCATGGTCTAATGGATGCCTCAGCAGGCAGGGATCAGAAAATCTACAGGAAATCTCTCTTTTGAGAAAAGCAACGCTGTTGAGAACCAGACTGAGCAAATATGTTGATAACTGTTCAACACAAATACTATGATCAGCTGTCTTAAAGTAAGATTCGTTTAAATAAAACTGAAATGAACCCTCACCTCTCAAATGTTGTGCCATCCTTTCACAGTTCTCCAAATGAAATAAAGTCCCCACATTGTGAAAAACTAACAGAATTATCACTAATTTACATTTCAGATACCTGAATATAAAAGATACAATAAAACACAAATGCTCAGATCTGCTCAGGGTTGATTTGTGGAGGAACCTTGAAACAATGGCTAGACTGTCACAGGGAGACATGCTGCTCTCAGGGTTAAGTCTTTATTCTCTCTTCTGTAATTCTTCTTGAGATGGCTGACTCTGTTAAATGTGATGGTGAAACTCATTACAGGGTCCGGAGATGCCTTTTTGTTCAGGAAGATTCCCTTTGGCTCAGTAGATAAATTATCAAGCTTGAGGTCTTCTCAAAGCAGCACAGCTCTTTCATCTCAGGACTATTGCTCTTCTTTTCTTTTTGTAAGGATTGGTTTTACAACAATCTCTTTATCTGTCAACTTGTATCCAAGACACATGGATTTAATGGTCTCAGATTCCCCAAACTGCTGCAGGGATCCAGCTTTGTTTTATAGGCCAGTGAAGATGTTTCCTGGTAGAGAAACAGCTATTGTAGATCTGTTGGCTCACTGCTCCACCAAGACACATGGCTTGTTTCAGAGTGGAGACAAGACTGAAGGAGAAATGTGAACAGAACTGAATATTGAGCCTCTCCCGCAGAATAATATAATACCACTGTGACTGGTTATTTATTCATTCATTTGTAACGTTTGTTTTTGCAGGTAGCACAATGAAAAATGGTTTCTGTGGCTGTCATGAAGCCATTCTTCAATGGCTGGGAAACAAAGAAAAAAGGCTGAGATGCACCAAATTATACAAGAACTGGACTGAAAAACAGTTGCAACAGTAATGGAGTAATGAATCCAAAATATGATAGTTTTGGTTCAAATCAATGTTGATATGTATGGCGAAGAGACAGTGAGTGTGTGTCTACAGCCATCTGTGAAACATGGTGGAGGTTCTGCATGGTTTTGGGCTGTATTTTAAAACCATTGGAATTATAAACATACGAAGCACAGTCAGTCACAGTCCTCTATGCCTAAAACAAGAAGGAAATATTGTTAATCTCTCTCTTGGATTTTTGCTCATTTGGGCAACAGAATTTGAATAAACAAAATAAAGGCAAATAGAATCCACAAATAAATGTGGAGAAATAAGTTCAGTCCCATGCAGTATGGTTTTATACTTTCTCAGTATCACCCTAAAGCTGTCAAAGTATTGATTTTAAACACTAACCTTGATTTTTATTCATTTAAAAAAATGTGTTTATTTATGAGCACACACCACCACCAGTCTCGTTCATTTTTTCCCCTTATCCAGATCCAAATGTATTTTTGAGACCAATATCCAAGGTCGTTTATGAAAAACACGCTCTTGACACACATGCACATGCTTTAATTTAAATGGGCCGACTGTGAGTCTCCCAGCTTCAACTAAGTGCACTTTAATTAACCTCCCAACATTCAGCCCCCCACCCCATAGGTAGCTATTGACCCTATAGGTCATTAAGACGCTATAGAACCTGACTGCATGCTGAGGTGGCAATTCAGACATTTGATTCATGTTACAGCACCTCATGAATGAATGAACATGGTGCAATAAAAGTACTTTTAGAAGAAATGTTTCCAAAAACTTACATTTATTTGAATTTACTTGAGTAAAGTTAGGGGTTGCCACCGGAGCATGCTGCCAAGTAATGACCTACTAATTTTATTCAGGTGCGTTGCAGCAGGGACACATGTAAGTTTCATGACACGGGCCCTTGAGGACTGGAGTTTGACACCCCTGCCCCACACAAGCGTTTTTATGTAACCTTGCTGAAGTCCCCCCATTTATCGGTGTTACATAGTATGAATTTGTTTAATTAAAAGGACAACATTATTCTTTGAACTTGTAAAATTTAAAATCACTTTTACATTCATGTTGAAGGTCTATTTTTTTCAATGTTTTGAAATATAAAATTGCTTTTATTCTCTTTGTGTAGTCAAATCATAAGCTTATGGCGATAGGAGGTCTCTGTCACTTCACTTAATCATTAATTTAGCCGGTAGTTGTAACTGAGACCTTATCACATGGTGGTAGCGGCATGTACTGGTTGATCTGACACAACTGTCTTTCATCTTGATGTCTTCATCAGAAACAGCTCATTACTTCCGGTGTGAATGAGTAGACCGGCTTGTACCACACAGAAAGTTGGCACAGAGCCCTTCTTCTGGCACATCGGTCCTTGTTCTGTCAGTTTCTTTACTATTTTCCGTGAGATTCATTTATTTCATTGGCTCGAGAGAAAGCCTGTCGCGTGCCATAGGCTTTTCCCGCTGTCTGTCAGCCCCCCTCCAACACCATCTTTCACTTCACTTCTCACGCTGGAGCGTCTTCACCGGTCAGGTTGCTCTTTTGTCATTGGTCGTTTTGGCCGTCTGTCAAATGCGCTTGGTCGTGGATTGGGTTTCTTCTGGAACCGCGTCCTCCTCAGCTGTACCTGTCTCGTTGTGAGAGGCTGACAGCGCTTCCTGTTCCACGCGCTGCTCCCGCCCCCTTTCATCCAGCTCCAAGGAAGGAAGGAAGAGCTGCTCGAGCCGCGTGTGTGTGTCATTTCCAGTGTGCTGCAAAACCGCGCTGCTATGTAACTCCCTGGGATTATTGAACTGGTTTCGCGGTCGGTGGGAAGTAAGGTTAGAAAGTTTGGAGATACAGCCGGTGATTTGGGGGGTCCAGGGCCCGCAGGGAAGGTGGTGCGAGTGGGTTTGGAAGTGGAGCGTGGCAGAGAAAAGGAAGAAAGGGGGGTTCTTTCCTGTGCGAGAACTGATAGCTCGCTTCGCTTGCTTGCCACGACTGGACTGACGTAGAATATGGCGGAGCATCACCCGGTTTCTGAAAACAAACACAAATCCTCGCTGAACTCCGGGGTGGCGTACTCTGGGAACGGGCGCAGCAGCACGGCGGTGGCGGAGAGAGGCAACAGCGCAGGAGGAGGAGGCGGGCTGTCCGGCGGCCTGTCGCAGCCGGCCGGGTGGCAGTCCCTGCTGTCGTTCACCATCCTGTTCCTGGCTTGGCTGGCTGGGTTCAGCTCCAGGCTCTTCGCTGTCATTCGTTTCGAGAGCATCATCCACGAGTTTGACCCCTGGTAAGTTAGTTTCTCCGCAGCCCTGGCGGGTTTAGGCGGTTCGCCGAGATTAGCCGGTTCTGTCAAGAAGTTTCTGTGAGAACATGGCAGGTTAACTGTGACACATTTCGTAACGATCCTTCATGAAAATAAAAATGATAAAATGACGCCCTGCACAGTTTATAAAAGGCAGCTTCTTATTGTGCTCAGTTATTAGACGGTCATCTTGGACAGAGCTCCATTGTGCCGACGCAGTGCTTTAAAATTATACGGCTTTCCCCCCCTCACTGTCCTGTTTGGGGGAAAAAAGGGGAGCCTGAATGACTTTGAGGCTTTTAGTGTCATGTGACGCCTGCTTTGATACTGTAGTTCCTAGTAAAAGTGCAATATCAGAGCAGGAGCTGGGGAGAAGGGGTCAGAGGAGTGACCGAGGACAATAGTGACAGCTTCATCTGTCGCTGGGTGAAAACGGAAAGAAGCGGCCATGAATGAGCGAAGTGGCTCCGGTCCTTCTGACACAGATTTGTCCTGTTTACCCGCTGATAAGCACCAGCACAGGTTATGGAGGCTAATATAGTTGGTGTGGCAGCAATGTGCCTCATGCATATTACAGTAAAAGGCTTCCAGTGAGCAAAATGTACCCAGTTTTCTTTCTTTTAAAAAAATATTGTTGCGATTTTCAGTGGAAACCATTGTTTCTCCTTCTGAAACTCCCTGCCTCTGCAGGGCACCTTTGGTTTTCCATACGAGTACATTTTCTAAAGTTTCATTTTCAGGTGGGGTCGGAGTACAAACTGCTGTGGTGCGAAAAGGGCTTCCTTACACTCTGAGACATTTAGTGCAGCTGACGGCTGGGATACCGAGTCCACACTTAAGACTTTGATATAAGAGAGAGTGTTTTTAAAAAAAGAAGGGCTGCTGGTCAAACTTTGAACTTTTTCCCGTGTTTGTCTGCCTTTCTGAGATTCTTCAAAACTTTCCTCGGACATAGTGAAGCCCCTCACAGGCTGGCTCTCTGCTAACCAGCCGTGACACGTCTGTCATGCCTTTTTGTGTTTCATTTCGAACTGTGTGCGTTTGTTCTGCCAGGAATAGTCCAGGTTTTTTGTTTTTTTTTTTGGGTCCAATGTATTTTATTTGTACTCTGAGGGACGATTGCCTGGTCCAACCCTGCGTTGCATCACTGAAAGCATTTAATGATTACTGTGAGACCAGCAGCGTGGATTAAACTGCCAGCTCCATGTCTGAATAAAAGAGGAGGCTTGAAAGCTTTGGCTGGGTGAGAATCCCTCAGTTTCTTGTGTGTCACTGTCTGAAAGTGTAACATGGCGTGACATGGAGTGAAATTTATTCATGCACTGCTTTATTGTTCTATCACTCTCCCTTTGTTATTAGAACAGCAGCCTTAAGTAAAGTACATGTTTGGATGGCGGAGGGGTGTGCATGCACCTGTTGTTGTTTTTTTGTAATTTATCTATATAAAAAATGTGACTAGTGATTACAATAAATCAGGCAGGTGGCACAATCTGCCTCACCGCGTGCATTGAAGGGGAATCCCTGGTGTGCATGTGTGAATGTATAAAGGAAGTAACAGAGCGAGAGTTTGAATCCTCTCTGCATGTGCACCTTGTGTGATAGAAGAAACCTTGAGGTTGCCCAGCGTTCAGGAGAACAGGAGCGAGCGGGATTTACAGACGTGTGCGATTGTTGTCTGATGACACTTCTGTCTTGCACAGCCCTGTGACCTCCCTGCAAGGTTGTCTGCCGTTCATGAGCTTATCTTTGAAACAAGAATGGAGGAGTATCAACCCTCCGCAACCCTGTTTGTTCTCCACCTCCCTCGCTCGCGCCCCCTCTCTCTGATGCATCGCTTTCATGTGGCTGGCTAATAGTGCGTTCCCCTCAGAAGTTCTAGATCGAGCTATTAGATTTGACAGGAAAGGGAGCTGTGGCTGACATTAGGTAGCCAGCCTGTACGTGCTTTAAGTTTGGACTGCGTTAATATTCACAGTGCAGCATCAGAAAGAAGAAAAAGCAGCTTCATTAGTACTTATGTCTCTGTCTGATGGACTAAAAGTTGCTTGCTTGTGAGTTGGACCTCCCTCACAGCAGCAAGGTCTGGCAAGGAGAGCGCGTCTGATCCACCTGTCATCTTTTTTCCTAAAGCGCCATCTCTCTGTATTAAAGCTTGTGGGCAATTTAAGGGAATTAGTGTCACTTGGTTCTGCTGTGGCGACGATCTGATATCGGTGCAGGCATCAAAACCATTCATAGGTCGTCCTATCAAAGTCATCCAGTTTTATTTTTTGAAATGTTGTCGTTGTCATGGCTATTTTAGTGCCTCTCTTTGGGTAACTGAGGGTTAATGTTTAACCTCATCGTATTTTTGACTCGCTGTAGTTCGTAGTGAAACTGAATACTGAAATTGTTCAGTACTGAAAGCACCGAAGCATGTCTAGTCAAATGTATAATCTTGTTTCCTAACCCTTGAAGTGGATAATCCCAGAATAAAATGAAAACTCTGACTGTTTCAGATGCTTTTTTTTTGTTTGTTTGTTTTTTTTGATGAAATCGGCTGTAAGTAACAAACACAAATGCTGTAAGTAACTTACAAAACACATCATGTGCCCTTAGTGGGAGAGCCTCTGTGTGCATACTGACAGGATGTGATGCATAACTAAAATTATAAGCGAATGTTTTAGTTCAAGACCAACAGGAGTGAGAGTCATCGCTGCAGAAATGATCTCACCGACTGCATCACAGTTGATTTCGAGACGTGTTCTGCTTTAGTTTTCATTCATCAGGAACTTGTGGTTCGCTGGTACTTGATGTCCAGATATATTTGTCTGAAGATCTGCTTTTCAAGTTGAAACTACATGTTGAGAACAGTGAATATGCTTATACCCAAACTTGTGCTGTTTGTCACTTCTCACTAGAGGTGGGAATCACCATACATCCCACGATACGATATTATCACAATACTTAA